ACAGCTGACTCATCAATTATTATTTCTTAGCTTGTACATAGAATAATGACATAACTAAAGTTCAAAGTCTGGATTTGTGGGACTAACATCAGCAGTATGTAAGTCTGTAGGTCTGAGCGGTACGTCTGCAGACGTGGAGAAGTCGTGTTTCACATTGCAGCAAGATTTTCAGACCGAAGAACTGGGGCAGCTGCCATTTTCCTCGGATTTTCCATTTAGCTCAACAGAAAGTTGGCCTCAAGCAGTAAGTTTTAGCCGACATCCGAGCAGAGGTCCCTGATCTGTGCAGAGCAGAAAAACAGCCACAGTTTGTTCTCATTGAACAAGAGAAATTTTTTCAGAGACGTGAACAAAAAGTTGTACATTTGAATAAAAACTCATCTAAGGTAAAAATTCATACTTGGTGTAAGCATTTTCATCAATCAAGGGCATCAGATTTAAAGACTAAGTACGTGTGACCTTTAAATCAGATGGTGTGTTTTTCTTTATCACCTCCTCATGCCTTTAAGCTCAGTCTGATCCTGGTTGCTATCTTCAGACTGGGCCTTCCTCTCATCTGCGTTGTCTGAAACTCTCGTATGAGAATCGTCAGATTGGTAGCAGCTGTGGTTGTTGGCTGAGTTCAAGCTGTGGGAGGCTGTGGCAGGCCAGCGGGGAGGAGCTCCAACATCTGGAAAAGAGGGAAAGCTGGCTGAAGCACAGAGACGAGAGCCCAGCAACATGAATACTCGCTGAGCCAATCCTGCTGCTACACTGTTTTCGAGTTTACTGTTTGCTTTGTGTAAAAAAAAATGTAAAAAAAGATGGTTCATGTTCCTTTTGAAGTGCCAGTGTTGTTGGATTAGGACTGAACTACAGCTTCTGCAGTATTCATTTTATATGAAGGTGTTTATCTGCAGGGTAAAACATAGTAGGAGACGGTGGAAAGAGTGGACTGCTTTTGTTCAGATCCGACCCTCTGGGCCTCTCCTGATGTAAGAGCATGTCTAAACATGTGGGAGCCGCCTGCAAGAGGAAAAAGGAAGGGGGTCGAGGTGGTGCTTGTGCCGGTCAAGAAGAGCTTAAATTCCTCTTCAGATCTGCTCATTTCAGTTTAAGATATTTGCTTTTCTATTCAGAACATGAAGGCTTTTTTTTTCTATTGAGTGAAACGAGAGGTCAGAGCTCCCTTTAGTTTCTGTTCTCAGCAGTTAAACAGGCAGACCTTTTTGTCTCTACAAAGTTGGAATTTTCATATTTTTGAAATGATCTAAAAAGTGTAAAAAGTGAACTTTAACTGCCAAAATTTGGATTTTTGTGGAAGGATACGTTCTTCCAGTTTCAGGCTCCACAGAAGTTGAAATGAGAGGGATCCATTTTGGAATACAAACAAAAACAATTTAGCAACGCTGACTCTCGTCTCAGGGCATGACTCAATTATCTCTACAAAGGTGATCTTTTAGGATGAAAATTGATTTAAAAAATGCATTATTCATCACTAACTAGGTTTTGAAAGAAATTGCATTTGGCATGACTACTTTGTCTTTTTGTGTTTCTCTATAAATCATCACATAATATATCCCAACATGTCTCCCAATGAAAATTACACTTCCATACAACTAAATTGCATTCTCAATTTCAAACAATACATCTGTATTAGGAGTTTAGAGGGAAAGAGGTGGCACAAGTCTGACAAAAGACCTTAAGTTTAGTTTTCACTTGCTGTTTACTTTTGTTTTCACTCACTGTTTGGTCAGGCTTTCAAATATAATTCCTTGGGTTAATGTACGACCCTTTCATAACATCTTCAAAGCTTCTCCTCCACTGTCTGAGTTATGAGAGATGCAAATGTCATCTTAGAAATAATTGATTTCCTGAAAAGGAGCAAGCTGGAGAGCAATATAATAAATAGCAGATATGTTGATTACGAATGTGTTTTTGAAATATCATGACCAAAACATATTCCTTGAGACAGTAAGTTTCCCTCAAAGAACATACCTGAGAATGCAGTTTAGCTGTATAGGAACTTCATTTTGAGGAGGCTTAGAATGCAGACCAGAATCCACTTACTTGTACTACTGCTTGGCACTAACAACTTGTTAATATTTAAAACTGCAAACTGGCATTTATTAGATTAAGTTGGTTATGATTAGTTGCTTGCAGAAACTTGCAGGATGAAGGTTCTGTTTGGGAATCCATGCTTTGACTGGGTGAAGCCATTGTTGTAGTTGATAATGTAGTTTATGTTTCTTTTTAGGTTTCTCGAGAACCATGCATCCAAACTAATTTTCACACGACACTACACTTCCTTGAGTCACCAGCAATACACCCAGCAAGTGTAAAGTGGATTGAATAAACAGTTGTTGAGAAACTCATAGAACAGACACACTCATACTGAGACTCCACTTAAAGGAGGGGTAAGCACTTTTTAAAGTATGCTCTATTCCCTCATATTCTAGTTTTTTTATAGTACTGCACCAGTATGATGCCATATGTTCTAAAATATGGAGTAAATTAAAGTTGAACAAGTTAAAAAGTTACATCATGATAGCAGCTCCAGGAAGCTGTGACATAAATGCTAACATTAGTACGTAAACATGTCAGAAGGTCACATGTTAACAAGTTGGCATTGACACTACAAGCATGCTCGTGTTTAGAAAGCATAATGTTCACCATGGTGACCATCTGACGTTATTGTGTTGGCATGCTCATATTTGATAATTAGCATTTAATAGAAAGCACAGCAGGGGCTGATGGGAACGTCATGAGTTTTGCATATATTAGATCACAAACTGAACTGGCCGGTAATGGTGATAAATCATAAGTAAGAGTTTTAACAAAGTAATCCTGAAGGGGATTTTGAATCAGCAAACCCTACTTCAAGGCAGATCTTTCAATAGTTACTGTCATTAAAAGCCTAAATGTATACTAGAGGAAGAGTCAGTGAATCATCTGAGTCCGTAGGCGTCATCCTCTGAGAACAGTGAAATTCCATCTATCCAATAGCTGCTGAGATACCTCAGCGTGGGGTGGGTTATTAGACGGCCCAACCAGCTGGCAGACCGACTCCAAGAGCCACATCACTAGGAAAAAAAGAATGGGTTAACTTGATTCCTAAAGTCAAACTGAACCGAGTTTAGGTGGGTCTGTTTATAGCCTTGTGAGTCAGTCGGAGCACAAAGTAAGAGTTTCTGTCACGTTTATTTCTGGTGAAGTCGTGCTTTTTATCTTGCCATAGTAATTATATGTTACGGTCTACTGAACTTCCAGCCAGGCAAAGCTGGTGTAATTAAATCCTTCATTTCATTTTGCTCATCATTCCTTCAACTTGTTTTAGTTTTGGTCTTATTTTTTTTTATCATAAAACATTAAAAGAAACACCAGAAACTTCGAGCTCTAGCTGCAGTGACAGCTTTCCCAAGGCCCGTGCAGCAGAGGGATGGAGGAGCGAGCGAGGTTACTGGCATCCCACCGTCTGCCTGGACAGAGGGGGCATTCTTCTCCTCGGATCCCCCCGGTCGTCTCCGACAGACCACAGTTTGTCAGCCAATCTGCCCACCGTTTACTGAGGAAATGTTCACTTAGAGCAGGAAGTCTGAGGTTTCCCCCCATACGTTTGATTTAAACAGTTAGCCAAACAACACCAGGGGTATAAGTCAGGTCAGAACAACATAGGTGGGAACTAAGCCCACAGGGGCCTTATAATCTCAGTTCACCTATGAGGGATACTTAAATGATGGGAAAAATAGCCACCCATTTGACCTGACGCTGCACTGTAATTATTCTTGGTAGATTAAAGATTTATTAGAGGCAATATTTGATTTGATTTTATGATCACATCCATGAAGTTAGGCTTGATGAAGTCAGACTTCTTATACTTTAAAAATGACTTGATAGCATTTCACAATGACTTCAGAAACAGCTTTTATTCAGATTATTACATGTTTATTATACAGTCTTGCTTTGGTCTACCAATGTACAGCAAAAATAAAATCATCCATTTTATATGCAAAAACAAAACGATCCATGACATTAAATAAAATTGTACATCTCAAGAAGTGACTTCAGAAGATCTTAAATATTTCCAACAGCTGGTTTCATGAAATTGTATTAATGATTAAAATTTGTTTAATTTTTCCAGCTTTATATTAAGTTGAGATTACATTAGGTGAAGCAAACATAAAACTAGAAACTTGTTCCCTCAATACGACTGAGTTAAAGAGCACATTATAAGTATGTACAAAAATGGAACAATACTGTTTACCATTCAACAGTAAATAAGACAGATAAAATAAAATAACATTTAAACACATAATGTTTCCCCTAAAATGGTAGGGTAACAGTGGATAGTACAGTGTGTCATTTTGGTAGAGCATTTATTCATATATATGTATTTATATCTATTTTGGACTTTCATTGTTGCAAGTGTCAACGTCAGCTCAACGTAGCCCCAAACAACTTTTACACTTGGAACTGTGGGTCTGTTAACTTATACCCAACAGCTAATTTCCTTTAAATAATAATAAAGCTGTATGGAACTGAATTAAACAGAAATTTATAAGATAAACTTGTAAAACTTTGGAAATACTGAAGAACAAGCAAATTGACCCCATACCAGCAACCCTACTAAAACCATCCCCAAAGAATGTAATTTTAAAATACTCTAATATTGCAATTTTCTACATTTGAGCAAATCTCATTAGATGTTAACTCATTTATATTAGCCTTGTTTAAAGTGAACACAACAACCAATAGAAAAAAATATTCTGAAAATACATGTGAGCCTTTATCGCCTTGCTAACTCTTAAGCATATTTACACGTTGGAACAATACATAAGTAGCATAGACATAAACCAAAATGATGCCACAAAATATGACGCAGAAATACTGACTTTGAATGAGTGAACCAGCAGGACACAGTGGCTTTGTGTTCCTTCATGATTCCCACAACAATCAAGGGTTCTACCGCACTGGGTTTGTGCAGTGTCACCGTTGTCCTGCAGGGGGCGTAGGGAGCACTCTCACTGCAGCTTCTTCTTTGCCAGCTCGGCCAGCTCTTTGGCTTTCCTCCTCTTCAGCTTCTTCTTGAGGAGGAGCAAGTCGATGTAGACGATGTGATCCAACACTGTCGAGGCGCAGAGGAGTCCGCCATGTAGAGCTCCGGCTATCCCACAGCTGAACACATCCTGGCCTGGAACACAGAGCCATACAACCCGTTGATATGATTTTTCCTGTAAAGCCTCAAAATAATGCAACTTCTTCTCCTTTGTGTCTTCTTCACAAATATGTTTTAACGGCACCAACGCAGTAAACAAGCAAAAACAGACTATTTTGGTATGTTTATAAGAAAGTCCCACACTTAAAAGTACCATCAAACCTCCCACCATTAATCTTAAAGGTTGTTGAGACATATCTATGCCTATGTATCTAGCTACAAAACACAATGCTTTAACATAAGATCCCACATAAAACATCCATACCTGTGATGTAGAGGTTTTTGACGGGGGTGTTGCACCTGTTCCTGGCCACGGCCTCAGCATGGAAACGCTCCAGGTTGTGCTCAGCGGAGTACATGGCTCCACGCTGAGCACCCAGGTAGTGCATGTTGGTTAGTGGGGTCGCCACATCCTGGAAAACCAACTGAAAAACAAATCATACAGACGTTACACAGCAGTTTGATATCAAACAGCAGGCATGTATGAAACAACCTAAGCGGGAATGCGTGTTGACAGAAAATGGCAGCTCCTACCTTGTCTTTGATTTTAGGGAATATCGTGCAGGCCCAGTTAAAGAGGTGATTAGCAAATCTCATTTTGTAGTTGTAGTATTCATCACCCCTTTTGCGCACAGTCGTGTCCTTCCACTCTTCAAACCATTCATACTGAACCATGGTCAGTATGGTCATGCAAGATTTTCCTGTTGACATGAAACCCACAAGACATCACGTCTGATCAGTCTGAACACTCAGATGTGATATTTTCTGTTTTTATTGTGTGTCCATAGGAGTAAATCTTTAAAACATAACATGCTTGATTTAGTCACAACACTTTAATTTTTTTTTTTAGCAAACTCCACCTTTCCTGTAACTTCTATTTTTGGCTAGAGTAGAAATAGCAGTGGTTGTGTGTACCAGGATGTCTGAGTTTGGCTTCAGGGTCCTTAGAAGATGGGATTGTGATGAACATCATGGGGATGTTATCAGGTGCTTCCTCTTTGCTCATCGCAAAGAAGTCGTCCATCCTAAAAAGCACATGGAAATGTTACGTTTACATTATCCTCCCCCAGTCTGAGCAATCTGACTTTGATCAGCAGTGCGGCCACATGTGAAAAGTCCTGACTGATCCTTTACTCCATCTAGCGGACAAGAAAGAAACTCTAACTCAGATACCTTTGACAAAGCAACATAATACAGGATGTTTCTTAGTGATAAAATGTTCACTAAATCTTGAGCTACTCAGTATTTTTGGTTCTTTTTGAAGAAATAAAAGTAGAAGAAACCTTCCTGGCAGCAAGCTTCCACTAAAAAGCAAGTTTACCGTCTGAGATTTTACTTGCTTTCTGTCTTTTTATACAACAGCGCCCCTTTGTGGTTGCTTCTGTGTTCACTGCATACTTACGACTTGTCCATGTCGTTGTTCTTGAACAGCCAGAAGTTAGTGGACACGAGGCCCAAGTCCTCTGCAGTTCCATCGAAGCCCGAGAAGACCAAGAATGATCCTCTGCCATGTTTCATCATGTTCAGTCTTTCCTGAACATCTAAAACATGCGAAAATGTAGTCACCTTGAAACGTCTTCACTTGCATCATTATGAAAACTTTGCTTCAGAATCAGGTTTCTCACCATGTTTGACTTGAATCTCAGGGGGAAGAAGTTTCTGGAAGGTAGTGAAGATGCCACAGTTTGACACAACCACCGGCGCATGAATCTCCACTTCGTCTTGACCTTTCCTCACCTTCACACCTGTCACATCGCAGCACAGAAATTAAATTTCAAATCTGCCTCACCTTCGATGCAATCTTTTACCAAGTGTAAAATCAGCTCGAAGCAGTTCTCACCAAAAGCTGCCCCCTTGTCATTAACCAGGATCTGGGAGACTGGAGCTCTGACCAGGCAGTTCCCTCCATATTTCTGAATGGTGCGGATGATGTGGAAAGCGATCTCGCTGGCTCCACCTTTAGGGTAGTAGGCACCTCGTTTGTAGTGATGAACCAGGAGGGCGTTGATCAGAATACTGGACTCCTTTGGAGGCACACCTAAATGTAGACAGAATAAGGGTTTAAAGATGTTAGTTTGTAAAAGTTCACAAGGCAGTAACTTGAAGAAGCACGAGGTGGCACACATGTTTACAAGAGTGGCCTGTAGTTGGTTTCCATTGTAGTACACAATCTAATACTTTCCATCAACTCCGAGTGCACCTTAACAGCAACTGATCATAGTTACTGGACTTAAATCCAATTAGATTAGCACAAAGGAAATAGAACAATGGAGGTTTGTTAGCCTACATGTTAGACAGGACAAGTTCTGGTGTTGCAAATACATGGGCCAGACGTGTCCATCGAACAGGCTGTGGGAATCTGGCACTGTGTAGTTCCTATAACACTTGGTGCAAAATGGGGCATTGTATTTATCAAAACACGGGGCTTTTGTGCATCAGTTGCTCTCAAGATCAACTCCGTTTCTTGTATTCTTTCTTTCAGATCACTTAAAAGTGGACTGAAGATCACCGACTCTTCTCGTTTTCCTCTCGAATGTGTCTGATATAGTTAGTTTTACTCCACATAAGCCCTCGTGTTCTAAAGATTTTCATCGATATCCTGCAGTTTCAAGGTTTAAACGCTCAGCAGTGTTGTTAACTGCTGATTGTCGTTCATGTTGTGTCCTCCAGAATATAAAAAACACCACATCGGCAATGTTAGATGGAGAGTGTATTCAAAAAAGCAATCACCTGAGCTGAGTTCACATCTAAATACTAGATTAAAATGCAATTTATCTAAAACGAGCGAGACGAGAAGATTACTGGCAGAGCATCACTAGAGAAGATACCATGTGTCTACAGTCCTTGATGTTTTAGTGATCAGACAATGAAGATATCCAGTTTGTCAGCTTCCTACTAGGGGTAACTTTTTTTTTAGAATAAGGGCTGCAATTCATACATGTGTTGAGGGTTAAAGCACTGTCATATTTAAAACTAAAAGACAGTTATGATTACATCCATTTTTTTTCATCTACCTCATACCTTTTGTTTAATTCACATCCAGTATGTTACATATGTTCACCCTTCTTAGGACTCACCATAGAAAAGATAAGAAAAGATGACCTGGAGATCCTTGTTGCTGGTCAGGGTGTTCGCAAACTCTGTTGCATTTGTGCCGGAGAGCCGAAAAACTGGAGAGACGAGGTCTGCAATGCCCGATTTTAGAAGGAACAAAGACACCCACTGTGGGATCAGCTTCAGAGTCGCCAGATAGTGAGTCTTCTTAGCTGAGACCTGATGGGAGACGGGGAGAAGTTTGAAAAGGGTTTGAATTTATAGTTTCAGGTACGTGACAGACTGATACATCAATCAAACAGCAGCACCTTCATGATTCTGAAGAACGTCTCAATGGCTTCCGTGTCGTCAGGGAATTGCTTCAACAGGTGGGCTTTCATCTCCGTTTTACCGGAGAAGATGGTGTAGTCCCGCTTCTCTTCGCCGACGCCGATCTGGATGGTGTCAAAATGCTGATTTAGCTCCTGGAACTCCAGCTGGCCCTCAGAGATCTGGTCAAAGGCAATACGCAACAGACTGTTCTCATGGACCTGGCCAATGTAGTGAAGCCCTGGAGACGAAAGAGAGGAAAATGTGAACACGGTGATGATAAATGGAGATAGACTTTACAGCATTCATTATAAATACCCGTGTGTGTTACTACGCTTGTTTTGATCGAGATTTGTATTTTATGGTACTATAGGATTTTATTATAGTCTGCAGTAACCTAAATGAACAGAGATATCCACAGCTAAGTGGATATGTCTTCTTTTGCAGTTTACCTATGACTGGAAGGTGCTGACTTCAGAAGCACTCTTATCAAACTCCTTATCAAAATATAGGGGTAACATTTTTTCACAAGCTGGGCCTGTCTTAGTAGCTCTTATCTTATCTCTACACAATGAAGGGAGAGTGTCTGGAGGAGGCTTTTATGACGGCCGAAACAAGCAGTTGTTCATCAACACATAAAGCAGTTGGCAGCTTCCTTGATAAGGCGACATTCCTCAAGGGGGAAAGAAAAAGTGGATTGCTGAAAAATTAAGTGCTCTGAAGATGTAACCTTGTGCAAAGGAAAAAAGTGACAGCAATTATGATCAGGCAAATCTGAATTTGGATTTTATTGCTCCTGCTATGACGACTTCAAAATGTCCCTTCTGAAAATGTATTACTGCCTTTAGTAGTATGTTTTTTAACACAGATTAGATTTCATTGTAGTTGGCTGTCCAGAAACATCACTTACTATAATATTCCTATAAAGTTGCACCTTCAATAAGCAGGATGTGGCAGTGTATGGCTGCAACACCAGATCAGTAACATATAAGTTTATCTGTATAACAAGATGTTTTTTATTATGACACACAAACGTATCAGGTTATATGTAACAAGAAACTCTTTCTGTTGTTATGATACACCACTTGTCTTGTTACACGAAAGGCTTTAAGTCAGCTTCTTGTCATAGTATTGAATACTGGGCATTATAGTCTGATAACATAATTGTATTAAGATTGATGAAAACTGATGATTTACATGATTTGATGAAGTCCTACTTCAAGTTCTACTTCGTGCTTGGGTAGAGACGTGTCCTGATTCTGCTGTTATTGAGCACAGTGGATGATACAGTCCATGGAGCCGTCTTTGCCCCTGAAGTAAGAAATGATGATTCGAGGCTACCTTCTGCAGGCTGGAATCATTCTTAATTCTGCCTCGCTCTGTGCATTTCAAAATCCTTTGCTGTGTATGCACACTAATCACTATAATGCAAATTCTCACCATGTTTCAACCTCATCATAAAATAGAACTTTATCAAATCATGCAAACGAGCCATATATCTCAAACAGGAGTTTTTCATTATGCAGGCTAAATTGTGAAGTTGCAATGTCAAAAGGTTTCATGTTGCAACGAGGTAAATAGTATTCTGGTGAAATTAGAAATGTTTGTTATAAAGTGATACGTTTGTGTGTTGTAATATTTTGAAAGAAGTCTTGTAAGGGCAAACTTTTCCCATAAAACCTGTAACTAATCCACTTTTCTTTTTCTGGTGTTTGCTTCCATACAAGGCAGCAAATATCTATCAGAGAATAGATTGATTGACTTGCTCTTGGTGGCCAGTTACAGCCTTTTTGTACCTAATTACACTTACTGTTTTGGCTGTTTGTCTAATATCAGATACATTTAATTCAAGCTGTTCTCAGCATGAACATTGTTCTGATTTAAGGTTGAGAAAATAAGAGTTTGACAGAAAAATTTCATGGCGCTTGAGACAGAAGCCTTCTCACCAACGTCAAACTCAAAGCCTTTCTCGATGTATGTGTGGCAGCAGCCTCCGGCCTGGTCGTGCTGTTCCAACACCAAAACTTTCTTCCCCGCTTTGGCCAGCGTGGCTCCAGCTGTGAGCCCACCGATGCCGCTGCCGATGACGATGACGTCCAGGTTCTGGGGCACTTTGTCAACACTGAACCCTGCACAGAAACATACAGAACTCCTGACTGTAAAAACGAATAGTTGTGCTTCACACAGTTATCATAAAGGTGCATCATAAATGTTATCGCAAGCAAGTGTTGCAACTGAGACATGGAATTGTGTAACAAAATGTTATATAATACAGTCTGAAGGTTGCACTGCACACCTGTCCTGTCATCAATGCTGAACTATTTCCTGTGTCTGTGTTCTACTGTTGGCAGTGAACAGCAGATTAGCCGCTAACAACGTCCTGATGGTCATCTAATTTAGATAAAACACACACATGAAAAACAGTTATTGTACTTCTGTTAATGTAGGTCTAATCTTTAGTCTGAGTTATGGTCCAGCAAACGGATCATTTAGATAACTGTATCAGCACAACGCCGCTGTGCATTAGTTGTATGTAAAGATTTATTTATTTTTTTTAAAACAAGAAGTATCTAATTGTGTTTTTTTCCCCTGACAGGTATTGTGATTTGATCCGCTTCAGTTGAATATGCACTATGTAATAGATTTAAAACATAATGAAACATTATTGAATGTCATCAAAAGCATGACTGTCACACAAGGACACAATAAGAATTTATAAAACCCTGTCTTAGAACTGCTGCATAACAATTATCTTTCTTTACAGCATTTGAGATTCACTAATTGCATTGTTTCCAACTGTTGAAACGAGTTGTTCAGCCTTACAGAGGACTAAACTGAGTTCAATTTATAGATGTTAAATGTGCTCCGATGTGAAAACTCATTGCTTTACATGATGCAGTTGACTTTTCAGAGAGACTTTCAATATAAACAAGCTTTTATACTGAAACCGCTTGAATTAGAAATGAGTAAAAAAACATATAAGGCTGCCATCCATCCATCCATTCATTATCTATACACCACTTAATCCTCATTAGGGTCACAGGGGGGCTGGAGTCTATCCCAGCCGACTTAGGGCGAAGGCAGGGGACACCCTGGACAGGTCGATAAGGCTACCAACCAGCGCAATATTAGCTTTGCATTAAGCTGAAACAGGGACGACAGGTACCTGAACTCAGTTCAAAGGTAAAGAAAAGCTGCCTACCAGGACGTCCACAAAAACTCACTAATTAAAGTGTCTCGTTTATTTAATGTGTATAAACACTGAAGTATAAAAGTCAAAGGCACAAACCTCCTCTAAAATGTCAGATTTCATCCATAAAGTTTGCAAAATAGAATAAAATAAAAAAGCAGGATAACTGAAACTGGCATATTTATATTTTTCAGTGGACCGTTTCCATTGCAACCGCTTTGATTTATTCGTCATAGGATGAAAAACAAAGGTGCAGTGAACACACTGTATATATAAATGTTTCATTGCTTTGATTGTCGTCATGTTGACTTAATGGAACATATGAACTGAATGAATCAAGCATTAACATTTTTTTTTATAAATCTGCTTACTTCAACTTTTTAAAAATGGAATGTTTTGCAGTGAAAAAACATTATTTTAGATTATTATTATATTTATTGATTCATGTTGAAGCAGGGATTGTAAACTTATCCTGGTTTTCTGTAGTTTTTGCAGTTTTTCAGGAAATAAACGGCTAAAGATAACCGACTAAGTTGATTTTAATTATTTATTTGGCAGATGTTACATTTTTGAGCGTGCACTCAGCCTAGAATAATAGATTACTGTTGTTTCAACTCATACTATAACATTTTAATATGATATACACAACTACTGAATGTTACATTAGGTGTCCACAGAGCCCAAAGGCACAACGGATTCTTTATCAAGGCATCACAACACCAGTTTATTCTGATGCTGCATGCAAACACGTTGCAGTAACTCTACCTTGCTTGATGACTTTGTCCCGCTTCTTTTGATCGAACTCTCGAGGTCCAGGCGGTCTCACTGACTCCAGGGAGAACGGGCTTTTTTTACCAAACAGGTACCAGTATGTGCCACCGGCCCAAACGGCCAACCAGAGTAAGAAAATCAAGAGCCACATCCTGGAGACAGTTTCTGGATTCGGTGTCGGTCTGCAGCGGCGTGTCCTCAGCAGTGCTTGTTTATTCTGAACACCGATTCCCCTCTTCAGGCTCCTTTTATTGTGCTGAGTGACAAAGGTCTGAGGGGCAGGAGTTTGACATGTACCTCTGCTCATGTCATCTCAAGCAGTAAAGATAAAGTGTGAGAGACCCAGTTTTCTTGCGTTGACAGAATGTGCAGCCGCCGCACAGTTACATTTAGATAAACCACAGTTACTGCACCAACACATCAAAGACAAAACCCAAGTCTCTTTTCTTGTCGTTACTTCACATGTCTTTGAGGAAATTCTTCTTAAATGAATAGAAGGTGCACTATTCAACAAATGTTAAGAAATCTACACAAAAGTAAAGTGCATTCAGTGATTTCAAAGGGCTTATAGGAAACCTAGATAGATTAGAGATTTTCATAATTGTTCTTATCTGATAAGGCAATTAAGATAGCACACTATGGACAAGTCATCTTAGACTTTATACGTATAGTGTTGAGTTTTATGTCTTTACAACCGTGCGGCTGAGTGAAATTACCGAGTTTCAGCATTTCAGGTCTGATAACTGCAAAATCCGCGTCCTTGAGGAAACATTGGGTCAGACGCTTCTTCAGAATAGTGACATCTCTCTGTAATTTAAATAATAGCAAATACAATAATATCCACGGTATATTTCTGGTAAATGAGGAGAATAAACATAAATCCACTGTCACGTGATGTACATGATGATATAGTGTCATTTCATGGACTCTATACATGGACTTTGCACTCAGGCTTTACACTGATGCAGTTGACTTTGATCCATAGATTTATTCTGGAGCCACAGATAACGTGAACCACAACAAAGAAACAAGCTGTTATGTATGAATCCAAAACTGTACAACTGAGTTAACATTTAGATGGAAAACAAGGAAAACCACATTTTAATAATAATAATGTTGTTAGTCGTCTGACAGCTCAGAATACTTATTGTGAGAAAAGTTATGTAAATAACGTTCACAAAATAAAATGAAGGTAATGTTTAGCTGATATGGACATTTCTCAACTCACTGTTATTCCTCTTTTGATTTTTGCAGGAGACATTTTGACTCGAAGAAACAGGTGACGCTGGTCCTGACACACTCAACTCACGACTCAAATCCTTGGTGACCTTGAGCTTGACCATTTTTAATTTACTTGAATTTCTAAACACTTTTTTTTTTTTTTTATCATGAACTCTCACAAACATTTTTTTTATAGAAAAAAATGTCTGAAATTTTCCCTCCTTTTCTCTTGTCATGCCAGTGATTCCAAATCTGCAGTACAAGACAAGTAAATCAAGTAATCTCTGAATATGGATGAGTTGAAATGTGAAAAAAAAAGCTGAATGTGTTTTATGTTTGTGCTATTGTGACATGAAACTACATATGGTTCAGAAAACATCACTTGTAGACTTTTATGTTAACGTGAGCACAAAGATAGGAATTTTCATAATGACATTAGTTCAGTTAAATTCAGATTCTGAATTAATGACGAGATGATAAATGTAAACAGTAAATATTCCAGACATTTGAATCTTTAATACTTCCTGAGATATTGTCATTCAAACGTATCCTGAAACTTTAATGTGTAAAAATTTGCCAAAAGTGGCAAAAAATAAGAAGAATTTGATATGTCAAGCTAAAATTTCACTTTCTTCATCTTTATTAATATTATTATTTAACACTTTTTTTAAAAAAATCCAGGAAATTAGAGATGATTGTGAAGAAATTGTTCAAAAAATTTGATGATTAGACACGAAATAAGCCGCATATGTTATTCTATCTATCTATCTATCTATCTATCTATCTATCTATCTATCTATCTATCTATCTATGCCAGGGATGCAACTAACAATTGTTGTTTTTTTGTCAGTTGTTCTGTCAGTTATTTACTTAATTAGTAAATGAATCAGTTATTTGTTTGGTCTAAAAATTTATGAGAAAGTCAGGAAAAATGTTTCCCAAAGCCCAGGATGATGGTTTCAAATGTCTTGCTTTGTTAACAAAGATAATGAGTTTACTGTCATAGAGGAGGAATGAAACCAGAAAATGTTCAAATGGAAGACGCTGAGAACAGAGAATTCAGACTATTTTTAACAGAATAAGTTAAACCGAGTTATTGTTTTTCATCATTACTGCGAAATTTTTGCACCTTCATTTATACAACTAAAATTGTCTTAATTCTGATAACACTCACCGGCTTTGTCCACCTCTTGATTTTATTTTATTGAGATTGTTTTAATCCATAAATGAACTACTACTCTTTCTAGTTATATATGTCCAGTGTTAACATCCTAATGCGTGGCGTTATCAAAAATCGTGTGTGATTTTCCAAGATGGAAATCAGCTCTGGTGCCACAGGATCCTTCCTCCAGGATGGCAAATTTACACCAAAAGCTGCAACTGTTGACCAGACGATGTTGTTTTTTTTGTTGACGCTCGGATTGAAAACGACACTAATTGGATGGAGGGCTCGAAATGGAAGCCGGGATGAAGTGTGGAATAAGCTTAAAGACTTTGATACAGGAAGCAGCTCTGGGTCAACAGGCCCGTGTGACCGACTGTGCTGCAGCAAAGAAATCCTATTAGAAATTACACTAAGCGGCAACTCCTGTGACTTTGCCCTGCTTTGTGTCGCTACGCAGGTTGAGGTTGTGTTGATTTGTGCTGCTCACAGTCAGAGATAATACGCAGCCATTTAATATTAACTGATAAAAATGAGATGAAAGTGCAGCAGCAGTTCAATGAAAGTGATGTATGCGAACAGAGATCAAGAATCAGAGCAGGCAGGTCCGGTTGAAGCTTTGTACAGCTATTTGCGTTTAATTACAAATTGACACAGAAGCATTTTCATATCAACAGGTACATACAGTCTCTCTCCTGGTAGCTTTACGGATCTTAATTTTCTTTTCTACTGCACACTTTATCCACAGGAATTCTACAGGAAAATCACAGCAACATAGCCAGCTCTCATACAAAACAGTGTGACTTTTCCTCCGGTGTCGATGTGCTATGTTACTACGCAGCCTCCCTTGTCTCCCTTGTAGGGGTTCTTGTCATCTGGGACGCCCTTGATCAGTGGATCATTTGGTAGCAGTCCCTCAACAAAAGTAATAGTGTCTGTGCAGTTTGCACTCACCTGTTGGTCAGAGAAAAAAAACACATGTAGGTTTTGTAATGAAAATTCTTTAACAGACATTTCAATTAGCATGGCATAAATGTATTTAACATGTATTTTCCCCTCAATTTCTTAATCCAAAGGCAGCTAAAATGAAAGACAGTTCTGTTTAAACAAGAGAGACTATTTACTTACTGCTGTCCTAGGTGTGCTAACTTCCTTTTTCAACTGTTCCAGCTCCATTTTCAGGATTTCCTTATCTGACATATCCCGAGCCATCCTGGCTGTAAGAAGAGATCCTCATTTTAAAACACATATCACAACAAATTCCTGAAAGTTTACTTGTAGTATCTTTAGGTTATTCAAATATTTACGCTTTTCCTCCAATCCTCAGCTTCCAAAACACAATGTAAGTGCAAATCCAGCAAAGACAGATGTCACAGTAGTCAGGGTTTTTACCTGTTGAATGGCGGGATCACTCAAAGATAACAGAACTGTATCGGCTCCTAGGAGCTCATCGGCTGTGTTCCTTCCTCTCGGTTCGGTCGCTTCTTCAGACTGACTGATCTGTGCCGTCCCACTGCTCTTCATCCCAGCTGATCCCCTCCCTCCGAGTTGTTGGGCGAGGATTGGACCTGATGTCACCAATCCCCCGTGATGAGATTAAACAATCAGGAGCCGTAACCCCTGAACAGGAAGGAGGAAGGGAAGCGAGTTCAGGTACAATCTGCAGACGACATGCTGGAGAAAGTGAAACACAAAAACAGAGCTGATCTGATCTGTTACTCACTCTAAACTGTGGTAAACATACACAAAGTCATGCTTCTTGGTTGCTTTTCATTAGTTTTCTATCTGTAGTTGATGAAAGCATAGAAATAAAGTAGCAATATGCAGAAATATGACATTAGTATAGCATGAACAAAAGGAGCATTAGCTATAAATGTGGATATATGTGGTGAAAGTTCGGTTCATTGTGTTCATACATCATCAGCTCAACACAGGAAGGAGGCCAAGTCACGATCACTTTCATTTGATTATTTACGTTAATCTTGCCGTCTGTCCAATCAATCTCTGAGTCTCCCAGCGTCACACAAATCAACAAACTGTGGACAAGAGGCCTGACGCTCATATTTTTTGGGAGTAAATTCTGATTGCATTTTTGGCTCTTTTACAGGAACGTTATGCTCAATTTCTGATTAGAACCAGGATTTGGTGTCGCAGTTTTAACAAATGCATGGATAAACATGTTTCTCAGTTATATTGCACCACGGTAGCATTCTGTGTACCACTAAAGCCACATTTCTCTTGATTCTAGATGTGTGCTTGTATTTTTTCAGTGCAGTGTGAAGCTTTCTGGCTAAGAAAACACTTAATTTCATTAAACGTGATCATGTAGTTCAGTTCAAACTAAACATTTTCTTCTAAATGTTACCCTCCAACTGACATTTCATCTGAGACCTGACAAGCTACTGATCCTTAACTAAACCTTCAGCAGGACTCACACTAAGCCATTTTCAGGATCTGGGTTAGTCTCATCTACTCCAGATTAACCTCAGCAACGTCATCGTGGATTAACGGCAGCGTGGAGACGCTCCTTATCATTAAGTGGACTTGGTTTGTCGCTGAGCACCTGATGAAAAAAAAAAAAAAAGAAATCCCACTTTCCTATTTTAGATATATTTCCATTCCCTTTTAACTGCAAAACTGTTTAACCAAATTTTAGCAATTTAAAAGAAGTTGTATGTCTGTGTGAAGCTTATTTTTTACAGTTTCTGATAAGCTAACATTACTTCAGACATCATTATTTAATCTTACATTTTCTAAAATGGTATCATTAACTGCATGACTTTTATTAGAAACTAAATACTTTTGGACTGTTGTTGGGGGAAAATATGAATAAAACATCTCAAGCTCTGAAAACACTCAGAGCTTTAGCTGCCATTGAGGACAGCAGGATGTTCTTAGCGTTGTTTCAGGGACTTCTGATTTGTGGTGGTAATCTTGCGAGCTGGTTAAAGGGGTCTAGTTCACATATTGACATAGTTAGCATGTGCCAGATTTATCACCCCTCCTGCTTTCACTGCCCCCTTTCCTTCCCAGCTTCCCTCCCATTTTCCTGTCTGCATACGCAGGACATGCTGGAATAGAGTTGTGTGGATCAGTCCACTTTCTTTTGTTTCCCATTTACAGAGCCAGAGTTGTGTACAAACACGCAAAATTGACATCTTGTGGACAGATGAGTAGATACTTGCTAAATTTGATTTTTAAAAAAGTGTAGAAGACTCAGATGTCTTAGGCAGAAATCCATCTTGAATAATCAAGGGCCTTCTGTTCAATAATCTTTGATTTGCTTGGAACTTTTTTTTAAATCAAAACACTAAACATTTAAAATCCATCCATTATCTATACACCGCGTAATCCTCACTAGGGTCGCGGGGACCTGGAGCCTATTCCAGCCGACTTAGGGCGAAGGCAGGGGACACCCTGGACAGGTCACCAGTCTATCACAGGGCTACACTTAGAGACAGACAACCAAGCACACTCACATTCACACCTACGGACAATTTAGAATCACCAATTAACCTCAACGTGTTTTTGGACCTTGTGGGAGGAAACCGGGGAACCCGGCGAGAACCCACGCTGCACGGGGAGAACATGCAAACTCCACGCAGAAAGATCCCAGGTGTCCTCACCGGGACGCGAACCGGTGACCTTCTAGCTATGAGGCAACAATGCTAACCACCGAGCCACCTTTCAGCCCAACATTTAAAATGATATCCATTAAATTTTAGACTGATATATCAAGTTTTCAGAGTATTTCAGAATGAAAAATTGTTAAAAAAATTGCCCAACGACCCACTTTCAGCACGTTTAAATTCAAAGCTGTTTGGATGACAATATCTCAAGAATGATTAAAAAATAAAAGCCTGAAAGTTTTACTGTTGTAGTGGGATTTTTCTTGGGGAAAATGTTCTTTCCTTGATATATATTTAATGGTAATTAATGTACTTATGTGAGCAAGACTTTTGTGGTAAATTCTCTGCCAGTAAGTATATAAATTTAGTAATAGAAAAGGTAAGAGTTCACTCTGTTTCTCCAGCCTACAGAATGAATATATGTTGGAATTGATTTTAAAGAATAATGATACAAAGAGTCCCACCCTGCCAGTTGACAGGATTGAGTCCATTGGTTTCTCATGTATGAAACCACAAGAGTCTAAATCTGAGCTGCTGAGACTCTAGTCAGTACATTTCAGTTTCAAGGTGGAAACACTCAGCCATGTTATTGACGGCTTATTTTGCTCATAGTTTTCTCTCTATCATATAAAAAAACATCACATGGACATACAATACATTCAATTTCATTGTACATGTGTATCGTGACAATAAAGGCATTCTATTCTCAACAAGGCATTTAAAAACTAGATTTTTACCAGTGGGGGGTCTTTAAGTCATGTTTACATAAGTGTCATTGTATTTTTCATGCAATACTTTCCCAAGGTCACTTTCACAACGTCATGACAAAGCCCCTGTTACAGCTGTTTACTCGCTTGACAAGAGGCTCGGTCCTCATATCTTTATGACCTTGTTGATTATGGTAACTGCTGTTGAAGATAGGGTCGGCTTGACTCAATCAAAGATAGCGGCCGTGTATATCACAGTTATCCCTCGTTATTACCGACCTGATGAGTTCACATTCTGCAATCACATATACATTACTATATATATATATATGTACTTATTGGATACATTGTACATTGGTAATGATGGTATATGCATTTAGGTATGTGCATTTGCAATAGTTAATGTATGTAATGTATAAATACAGGTATTTTTGGTGTCTTTTGAAAGTTATACTGGGAGACTTGGGAGTATTTCTGACTCCAGGCTGCAACCAACAATTGTTTTCATTGTATATATGTATATATATATATATATATATGTTGATGATGATTTATACTCATTTTATTTTGAACAAACAAAAAAATGTGCAATTTTCAGGTTAACATCTAAAGACTTCTGCACTGGGCTTTATTTTAAGCTCCTAAAAATGTCTCTGGGTTGTTGTTGCGTTTGAATACTAACGACTTAATTGGATATTTGAGTGTTTAATACACCCAATAGCATTTGCCAATACTACAATTAGTCGTTTTTTGTTTGTTTTTTTAAACAGAAGAAGCTCTACTTCCTACAAAATACTAGGTCAAGTAGCAGCCACAGACACGTTTTCCTCTAATGACCTCTAAGCATTTCAGTAATGATCCGTTCTGTCCTGTGGATGGCGCTGTCGGACCTGTCTTCTCTTCTTTCCGTTCCCACGAGTGAAGCTGAATTTTATATCCAGCCTGTGGCCCCGCCCCTCTTCCACTGTCAGCCAATAGAAAGACGCATTTGCGCTTGAGCGGAACTTCGTTTCAAAATAAGAGTTTCCCCGTAACTATTTGTATTAAATCTACCCTCTATGAAAGACGCAGACTTTTAATTTGACACATGACAGCGTTCTTAAGCGGCGGTCAATGGGGCAGCTGGAGTTTCGTCGGTGCACAGATGAGCAGCAGCGAACATGGCAGGTCCCAGTAGGAAGCAGATGTTGCGGTTTCTTAGCCAGCTAGGGGCGTTTATTTTGACCCGGTTCGGATTTTGGAACTGCTTCTGTATGTTGATGCTGTTTGCTGAACGAGCGGATTCGAAAAGGTAAATCTGGCGCACTTTGGAGCAGCTAGCTGAGGTTAGCTAACATGCTAACAGCACTTATAAGTTAACTTGGAGTCTAACTTATGCACAGTGCAGTCCCCATATTTACATTTTACATCACAGACTTTGCAGGCAGAAAAGTTAAATTAACGAAACAGGACATTTAAGTTAGTTAGCTGAGCTTTTATTGTCTGAGCGCTTAAACCTGACAGCTAGCTAACGAGGGTTGTATTACAGCAGTTGGACTGAACCTCAGCCACTAAAAAGGTTGTGGCCATCTGGAGATGTTTAAATTAAAATGGCAAGTTAAGGCGTGCCTGGTCTGTAATTTCAAGTCGGACAGCAGGTTGGCAGCAGTTTTTCTTGTTCAAACGCGGCTTTAATCTGTCCACTGAGTGTGTATTGTTTCAGTCTGTGGTGGGCTCGTCCTACTTGGGCAGCCACACCCCTCTGGATCATCCTGTAATCACAGCAGCTGCGGGAAAAATGTGCACATCGTTTGTCATACCTGCTTGCTTGTCCTAGTTTGGTTATTTTCCCCCTCACAGCCTTCAATGTGTGCTTTGAATACATGCGGATTTTGAATGGCATTGTTTGCAGCAACAGGAACAGGGATTGTGCAAAAACGCAGGGAGCATCAGTAAAAACATGAACAAGAAACGTTCCCAAGTATTGTCAATATTGTACAGATTCTTCTACATGTACAAGGTCTAGATGTTGCACAAACTCTATTGATGTTGCACAGATTCTTCCATGAGTTATGACATTATGGTTGAATGATGAAGGAGTAAGCCTAAGTCACTTTATGGGTAAGTGTTTTAAACATTTGCGGCTTTCAGCTTCTTGAACACATGTAGTTGCTTGTGATTCTATATTCTACACCATTAAACACAGTAAACCCCATTAGGGTTAATTTTTTTTATTGCTGGTCTGATGCTTTGGGACACTTGGATATTGATTTGGGTTGGCTGATGTCCCAAGCATAAATGCAGCACGTATTTTCTAACTAAATTTCATCTCGTCTTTTTAACATACACTAATCGGTATTTGTTGTTCCATCGTATGGCGTTTGCACCGCACAACTAATGTCATGAAATAACCATGCACACTATATCGGACATGATAATGGGCAGATGGAGATCAAGAGTGGGGTCACAGACCTGAAATCACAAGTCAGTAAAAAGTCACACATCTACAAATCGTAGAGTCGAGGTAGAATGTTGGACCACTTTTGGTCCATGGAGTGCCTCTATACTTGTCAAATTATCTGATTATGGCTCCTAAAAGCCAACACATGACCAGGGTGTGGATTAACTCATTGGGCTGGGAATTTGTCACCAGTTGAACAGCTCATAAGCATTTGGTTAGCTGAACCGAACCGTTTTCTAACCCAGACGATAAGAATTTTAACTTTTTCTCTAAGACAGAAGAGAAGACAATTTGCATGCTGTATTTATATTTTAGTTCAGTGTAGCATAGGCGCTGAGTTAAGGCTGAACAGTTTGGACAAAATATGTATATTTGAGTTTTTTTGCATCAGCGTGGATGACGACATGAATTTGTTGACATAACAGTTTAAACTCTGGGTCACTACTGATCTGGTTAAATAATGAGACTGCGCTTATGCCAGTTCAAACACAGCACAAATGCCAGAACCACATAGTAGACATTGATCAGAGGTGCTGCTCGAGAACACAGTCCCTCAAAGTTTCAATCCACAAGAATTACATTAGTTTAATTATTTTAAAGCTTCACTCCATGCATCCTAAGTTGTTTCAAACTGTGATTTTGATGTGAATTTAGTTTATTATTCAGCCCTATGCGGAGTATAGTTGCAGTGAATTTGTTTTTATTGAGACTGCTTTTGCTACTTTGATTCCTGTGGACTTGATGAAGGGCCAGTCTGAGCTTGAAATGTTGTATTTTTCTCACTGTGACAGGGGAAGTGAGTCCTTAAAAGCTCACACAAATGAGTAATTCCACCTACATGTGATAAGAGATTAATCAAAAATTAACCGTTGTTGCAGCCAAAGTCTAAAACAACTTTAATGTCAGTGCATCAAAAGTATTGCAACATACAGCTCGTATTCTGGCTACATCAATACAACACACAACTGTAAATACTCAGACAGTATAAAGTTGGATCTACAATGTGTTTTTCATTGTCATCTCCAGGAAGCCAGACATCCACGTCCCGTACCTGTATGTGGACATGGGGGCTGCAGTCCTCTGCGCCAGCTTCATGTCGTTTGGCGTCAAGAGGAGGTGGTTTGCAATGGCTGCTGCCGTACAGCTGGCCATCAGTACCTACGCATCGTACGTCGGAGAACAGGTGTATTATGGGGACTGGCTCAAGGTGAGGATGCTCAGTTAGTCGTGTCCTTCCCTCTGTGATCACTGCTTTCTGATAAATGTGTGATATTGCAGGTATATTTTTTTTTTCTCATTTGATTCAATGTGGAGTGATGTTGAAAGCAATAGCAGCATTCTGAGCAGGTTAGACTGACCTGGCATCATGGGGGACATAATGACATGTAAGATTTCAACAAATGAAAAAATACACATTTATTACAGGCAAGTGGACAAAAAATAAAATGTCAACATCTTCACTGTAACAGTCATTTATTTTCCTGGTCATGCTTTTCTCATAGAAGTTTTTATGAACTTTTCCAACTCATAAACACAGTAACTGAACAAATCTGGACATGCAAAAGTAGTTACAACAAATATTAAATGAACAAATCCATGAATATAGAAAATGTGTCCGTCAGTGAAGTTAATAGGAATGTTTATAGCCTAATATTTATGCTTCGTTTTGCTAAAAATAAAAGATTTATTTGTAAAAGAGGAAGTGTCCTTCATTAATTTTATTTATATTATTTATACAATATACATAGATGAGCTGAAAACAGCAATTGAATGCAAATATTAGTGTTTACAGCCATCACTGTTTCGCAACACCTGCCCATAGAAAGGCTTTAGGAGGCTGAAAACAATGTGATACTTTTATATTATTATTCNAATTTTATTTATATTATTTATACAATATACATAGATGAGCTGAAAACAGCAATTGAATGCAAATATTAGTGTTTACAGCCATCACTGTTTCGCAACACCTGCCCATAGAAAGGCTTTAGGAGGCTGAAAACAATGTGATACTTTTATATTATTATTCGCCAAAAGGCGGCTAAACAAAAGAGCATTCCTACATTTGGGAACATGTCTGTTAATTTTTTTTACACTTCCAGATAATAAAACCTATTTATAATTTGTGATGTACACATTTATCCACTGGATCTCAAATCAATCAACTGTTCTCTCTTATGTCTATCTCTTATTCAAATCCTTTTTTTGTTTGTTTGTTTGTTTGTTTTTAGGATCATAACTATTCCATTTAGGCTTCTTTGACATTGTAGTGCTTGAGTTTAACGTTTTAATTATTCCATTAACTAATGTTTTTGATTATGGCCAATATTGAACACCAGTCTGAACAACTGTCCATAATGTATAATGTGCACAGTGTCATAATGGCTGTTTGAAATAGGATTTTGTATGAATTGGGATGTTATCCAGCTCTGGCTGCTTCTTAGTTCTGTTTTAAATTGTTCTTGTTGGTGCACCAGACATGAAACAAGTACTTTTCAACCAGAACTCGTTTCATGTCTGATTTTCATTTCAGCTGCAGTAAACAGTCATCTTTCAGACTGCTGTCTCTTACCTGCTCAACTCTGACTGTTCAGATTAGAGGTTAAACTGCTGCCAAATCAGAAATGTGTCAGATTTAGGAGCAAATATAAAAGTGGCCTAGATCAGCGTTGGAATACTAATCAAAAGCAGATCTGTGTCACACATGAAGGTAAAAATTGGATCTGGGTCACCACTGCAAGTCTGGAAGTCGACTGCTGCATCAGAAACACTGTAGTAGAAACTTGCCTCAGATCTCCTTGTGTGTGTGTGAACCTTGTTGCCCTGCAGGTACGAATGTATTCCAGAGCGCTGGCCATTATTGGAGGCTTCCTGGTTCTGTCCAGCGGGGCGGGAGAGGTTTACAGACAGAAGGCTCGCAGCAGGTCCATGCAGTCTACTGGACAAGTCTTTCTGGGGGTCTATCTCATCTGCATGGTAAGACTGATGTCAGTTTTATTTGCTCTCTATCTCAATGTGGCTCTAATCCAGGCTGTCATAAAAGGCATTTTATTAAGAGAACACAGAGACTTCAGAGTATGATTTGGTCTTAGCCAGTGCTGCAACGATCAGAGAATCAATCAGTTGATCGTGGACATCAACCAGCAGTTATTTAAATCCCAAACATTTATGGCTCCAGTTTGATAAATGTGTTTTTTAGATCATCGCAAACTAAATCTTTTTGTGTTTTGGACTGATGGTGAGACAAAACAAAATATATATTTATAAAATGACCCTAAACTGTTGGAAGTTTTCAGTGTTTCCAAAGATTTTATAGATAAAAAGATCAATCGATTAGTAGATTTATTAACTGTTAAACTTTTAAAACATCTTAATTTTCTTAATTAAAAAAACAGATTGAATGCAATGTCTTTTTAAACTAAACGTCTTTAGAAGTGGTGATCACACAAAAGATGGATGCAATGAATCTTATGATTTAGTTTTTGTTAGTTTGGATTCACAGTATCTGACCCAGACTGTCTTCTGTGTACATTCTTCATTGGAAATTTGTACTCAGTTTGTTCAAACCAGATCGTCATACTTTACATTAATAGAAAGAAACTATCTTGCACTGAGTTTCTGTAAATGACGGTTGAATCACAGTTTAAGGTTCGTGAGTCAAAACAGAATGTAAAAAAAAAAAACAAAGTGTAATACTCTTTTTTTGCACAATTTTGCTCCTTAATTCTTCTGCCAGCATTATTTGCATGTTGCTTTACACGTTGTTTTCTTAAATCTAACGTGTGAGCTACTAGAACTTCCCTGAGGGAATGAATGAAGTATCTGTGTCGTTGCTGTGCTTTATTAAATCTGCAGCACCGCTCTCTGCCCTCCAGGTGTACTCCCTCCAGCACAGCAAAGAGGACAGGCTGGCCTATCTGAACCACATCGCCGGGGGAGAGATCACCCTGATGCTGCTGGAGGTGATGTTCGGGGTTCTGGCTCTGGCCTTCCTCTCCGGCTGCTACATCCGACTGGCGGCTCAGATCCTGGCCACCGTCCTCCCCCTGGTGATCCTGCTCATCGACGGCAACGTGGGCTACTGGCACCACACTCGCAAGGTGGAGTTCTGGAACCAGATGAAGCTGATTGGCCACAACGTCGGCATCTTTGGCGCCGTGCTGATCCTGGCTACCGACGGTTGAACCCTCGGGTGGGGGGGAGGGTTTTCACAGACAACTTTCATGGACCGAGGTGTGTTGCGCAGGATGAGATCGTTGGAGTTTTCGTCACAGTCCGACTTTGTACTCGAACGCTGCTTTGACCCGGTGACGTCTCAGGATTCAATCACGCCAAGCTGAGACGGTTGGATGTAAGCTGCATCGATTGTCCCCGCCTACTAGCTGGTAACTTTGCTTTTGCAAGAAAAAGAGACACACAGGCTTCCTTTTTTTGTTTTTTTTTCAATTTTAATTATTTATTTAAATTCATGTTTACATGTTTTTGTTTCTGTTATGACACTGAGAATCGGTGGTACTGTAAATCTACAGGGAACTTTTACTCCAAGAGAAGTCTTAAACAGTCTAATCATATTTTTTTTTAACGGTGTAATGGTTTCAGTATTTTACAAATAAAGGGAAAGTTATACTCACTTACCGCCACCTTATTAAGTACACTCGTTAAATTTAATACAATCAAACAGAAGAGCTCTGCCGTAAATTCTTCTACGTTTATAGTTTTTGTTTGTGATTCTACTTTCCTGTTAAGGTCATAGTGGGTGATTGTGGACTGCACTGAATTTAAAAACATTCTTGATCTTTTTCCACACCTGAGTGGGAGGAAAATATTAAGTACTCCTGAATGTAATGCAGTCCATTATGACTTTAATAGCAAGTCAGAATCATCACCTTTCTGACAACTTAAAGATAAACTGTAGAAAGTGCAGCAGAGTCCTTGTGTTGACTTTTGGGACGCAACTGAACTCACACTTTGGATTGCATCGCTGCTTTTGAGAAAAGATTGCTGAATTCGTCAGCTGCTTTCTTGCGTTCATGTAAACACAGAAGTGCTTTGAAGTATGTATAAACTACCAGAGCAAATTTCATAAAACTTGGAGAGGTGGAGCAGTTGCATGTCCCAGATCCACGTCTTTTTCTACGACACTGCGAGAGAGGACGAAACTCTGAGTGCCCCTCAGTCAGACTGTATTTCACACTACGAAAGCTGTTTGCTATTAATTCAGTAGTAGTTCATATGCGTGACAAACGCTGGATGGGAAAAGGTCAACTACCTTCCCTGACAACACTAATTGGATTGCATTAGATTAGACAGCTGTACTTAATAAAGTGACTGTTTGGGAGCGTGTGTTGTATTGCTCATGAAATGGGAGGGCTCTGCTTGAGGCATCGCTTTTAACTTGCGCAGACATGACTATATGTAGGTTTTCATTACGTTTAATAAACACAGCTTTTGTATCTTCTGTGTAATGTTCACATTTTTATATCAGATCATCTAATTACATGAGAACTGTCTCTATCTGAGAACTTTCAGCATTTCAAATTGCTTCGTTTCAGTGAAACGTACAGGTAAACTGTGTTGCTCAGGATGAAAATGCTCTAAGTTTAGTAAGTATAATTATCAGGATGACTGAGACTCGTAGCTCACCTCTTTTGCTTTTATTTTTCCATTAAGTCCAAGGAATTGTATCAAGGTCATTTTTTAAATTTGCAAATTCTCCCGGCTCTGGGCAAAGTTAGCACATTAATGCAGCGGTTACAGTATTGTAAGTGAAGGCTTTATGTTAAGATGCTAATCTCACTGAACTACCTTAAACCTGCCAGACTGGTCAGTTTCTGTTTCTTGTTTGCAGAGAACTGTCACATCAGTTTGGCTTGTGGCCATTGTTGTTGTCTCCACAGGTGCTGCTGCTGCTGGTATCAGAATTAAAGAGAAGCGACAAAGAAGCCAGGATGATGTGACCATGATGTCGCATCATTACACAGCCAAAAATAGAAAATGTTGTAGGTTCGCATGTAGGGTGACGCTGAAGCTCTCACTTTAATAAGATCATCGGATTAAAGAAAGATCAGATATCGGAGCACAACCAGTTCTCCACATGCCGAAGCACGCGATGAAAAGAGACGGAGACATAGCTATGGTAGTCGTACATTTTTAGAGATGTCAACCAGTGATGGTTTTTTAAAATGTTTGGATGCCTATTAAAGCCCACACTCACTTGATGTTTTAAAATATATCAAATACAGCTCGCATATCATTGTAGACCAGGAAATGTTTTCATATTTAGGTTCAGCTGAGGCCTTTCAATCATCTCTTCAAAATACATGTTTGTGGGCCAAAAAATCAACTTATTAGAAGAGTTTGTTTGCAAAAACAGATAAATTCATTTTTGTAGATATTCAGAAAACATATTTTTTTGTTATTTGCTTGAGATAATATCAATCAAACTGAAGCTGAGTGGATTTGACTCAGTAGAAATGACAAAAATAGAACTTAAGTTTGACTCGTAGTGTCTCAGGTAGATGATGGAAAAGTGGGTTTTCTGAAGGTTTGTGAAGATGGAGTTATCTGTTTTTGTAAATGAACTCTTCATATGTATAAATTCTACCTATAATTTGAATTGCTTACTACAAAACTGTATCAGGAGACCCATTATACTCCTAATTCTGCCTATTTCCAGGATTCTAACGGGCTATTCTGCACCTTTTCCCCCTCTCCTTTGGCAAAAAATATACAAAAAGCTTAAGAAGCATATCTGAACTTAGACTGAAACATGATATTTAGAAGTTGACAACCAGCCGTTGAGCATCAGCGTTCAGTAGGTCACAGTCTCTGCTCATTTAATACCCGTCATTCTTCTTTTCTTGAGCCTCTGCTTCACTTACCAACTGTTTGTTCTTCCGGTTGCGCTCCGCTTTGACCAGCGTCCCGATCACGGCGAGCATCACCGTGATGGTGATGACGAGCACCGAGGCCGTCTCAAGCACACACAGCTGGCTGTCCTGAGAAGCCAACGAGTTGCCGGCCTGCTGAGAAGGAGAATGACAGATGATGTCCTTGTAGTCCTCCACGTGTAGATGACGAACATACTGGATCTTGCCGAAGACGCGCTGCAGCTCACAGTCGCAGGTCCAGGGGTTCAGGGACATCTGGAGATGGGTGCGAGTGGTCTGGAGCTTCAGGAAGGTCTTGAACCTGATGTGCCGAAGCATGTTTCCCTGCAGACCCAGCACAGTGAGGCTTCGCAGAGGAGCCAGAGCTTCGGACTCGATGGCTGAGATGTTGTTGTGGCTCAGCAGCAGCACCTCCAGGCTTTGCTGTCGGCTCAGCACGCCGTCCTGGAGAACGTTGAGCCTGTTGCCCTCCAGGTTGAGAAGGTTCAGGTGAGACAGGCTGGTGAAAGCCTTGGCATCCATGGCTCGGATGCGGTTGTAACTGAGGTCCAGCTTCCTCAGGTTTTCAGAGTCCTGCAGGGCAGCAGAGTCTATGTGCTGCAGCAGGTTGTGGTCGAGCCGGAGCTCCTGGAGGGAGGACAACCTCCGAGAGAAGTCCTGAGGGAGCCAGCGCAGCCGGTTGAAGCTCAAATCCAGCCTCTCCAGAAACTGCAGAGATGACAGAGACTGAAACACAGAAAGAGATAAGAAAGATCACATCACTCTGAATGGTTGATGTTACACCAACAGTGATGGGATGTGCAGTACCTGTAGAAAATTATCACCTGTGTG